TAACAACTTCATCGTTGAAGGGTAAGTTGGAGCTCCTAGTAGCTGCAATCACACCTCTGTGAAAGCCTTCTGAGCTACTGTATTCGCTCATCTATGTATCATCTTGTAGGTCGAAAGAGGAGCAACACATACTGAATCCATAACCAGCAAGCATCCAAGCCACTGGTGTCACATCCCGGGATCGGCTCCGCCGTAGCACGATATTGTCCGCTTTGGGCCCCCCTCTCTGCCCTCCCGGTTTTGTTTCTGGGAGCTCATGACCAACTTCCCAGTGGGTCACCCAACCTGGGATTGCTCCGGCCCCCAACTCGCTTAACTTCGGAGTTCCTATAACTCCGAAGCCAGTGAGCTCCCAAAAGGCCTCGTGCTAAATGGATGCGGGCATGTACATATAAGGCACATCACCCCCTCTCCGTTGGTCGATGTGGGATCTTACAATTCACCCCCCTTAAGGGCCCGACGTCCTCGTCGGCACACTCGCACCACACGGCAGAGTGGCTCTGATACCAAATTGTCATGTCTCGGAATCGGCTCCGCCGTAGCACGATATTGTCCGCTTTGGGCCCCCCTATCTACCCTCACGGTTTTGTTTCTGGGAGCTCACGACCAACTTCCCAGTGGGCCACCCATCTTGGGATTGCTCTGGCCCCCAACTCGCTTAACTTCAGAGTTCCTATAACTTCGAAGCCAGTGAGCTCCCAAAAGGCCTCATGCTAGATGGATGCGGGCATGTACATATAAGGCACATCGCCCCCTCTCCGTTGGTTGATGTGGGATCTTACAACTGGTGAGTAGCAGTCTCTTGCTAAGGTGTTGTAGTACCCCACCGTGTGCTTCGATGGGTGAGAGTCACTCAAATAATACCAATAAACATATGGTATTTTAACTGACAAGCTAAGATTGGTACCCAAGAAAATATCATGAGTTTGCTTGTAAATATCTTTCCATGCAAAAGCAACTCCCTAGAGTACCATTCAAGAAATGATGTACATCACACATCTCTCTATGAGTGAGTGACAATATAGGAGATTTAATGTTGTAATCAAAACTCAAAGAGAATCAAATTTTTTATTGGAAAAGAAACTTTATTCAATGGAAAAACAGTTTAGAAGTATTACAACAACTTGGATTAAATATTCTAGGGCCTCGTTAAAACCTTGTCTTCAAACCCCCCGATGAGGGATAATCCAATGAAGGAAAAAAAGTATGAACATCCAATCTAAGAAAAACAATCTACCCATTCTCCAAATCCTTATCAAACAAAGTCATCCTTATATTTTGAGTTTTGATTACAAAACAATCTAAACCCTAAATTCCTTATATTGTCACCTATCCATAGGGAGAATTGCAATGTACATGTATTTTAAGCCAATTAAGGGCCAATATTACTAGTCATCCTTAAATTTTGAGTTTTGATTACAAATCTATCGTCACTTATCCATTGGGAGATTTGCGATGTTCATGTATTTTGAGCCAATCAAGGGCCAGTATTAACAGTCATTCTTATGTTTTGAGTTTTTATTACAAATGAAATTCTTCATTTTTTCTGAGTAAAATGAAAGTGTTCCATGTTAGATTTATTTGATATGCGTGTTCATGATTTTTCACACAAATCTGAAATACGTAAAGACATACCTAGCGCCATTTTTCTTGAGTACACGACCTCTAAACTCATTTAACCGCAACAACAACAATCCTAGAAAAACAAGAACGGCTCAAGACTTCTGATATCTCTTAGAATCTGTTTCAGCTATCTCTTTATGATGAGATTAGGGTTAGAGAACGTATCTGATGAGAGCAAAGCCCTAAGCTTATATAGGGCTAGGTCAAGTCGTCTCTACTCATCACCTAGGGCCGACTTGACTAATCTTCCAAGCCCACCAAAATAGTTCACGCAAAAAAGGAAATAAATAGGACCCCTTAATAGGCTTCAAAACCTTTTCTTATTCCACAAAGTTTTGGGACTCAAGGTATAGCCTAATTTAAACTCTTATCAAAACCTGATATAACTTAGTATCTAGTGCACCAATCTAAGTAGGAAACATAACATTCCACACTTCTTTTACAAAACAAGTGATTTTCTTTATTTATCCCCCCTGCATCCATGATTCTTGTTTTTCATATTGACATTTATTTACACTAGAAAACTCAATATATATATATATATATATATATATATATATTCATATTGACCTTTATTTACACTAGAAACCTCATCTTGGGAATTGCAGTGACGAGTGAAACCTTTGATGTGATTACAGAAAGGATGTAGAGCATGCAATTAGCAACAATTGCTAGGAACCTGGATCAAGAAACAAGATTGTTAATGTATGTGAATAATGGTGCATCCTTTTGGTGATTACTACTAAGGAACAATTGTTCGATGTTTTGGTGATTCAAGTGTGTAAAGTTGTAATTGTTGAGATATATGAATCAATTAAATATATTTTTTCTGTGTTGCAGGATATTATAAGTTACCTATTATGTCTACAGGATCGAGCTTTACTCTCTAGGAAATGTGATGTTGCCATACACACATCAAACTCCTATACGTCCAGTCACCAAAGGTTTCTGCTTACTGGGGTGAAAGTGGGACTTGAAGCAATTGAACCATGTATCTCCTTCTCTACCAAGGAAATGTTGAGTTCTGTATATGGAAACAACTTCTGAGTCAGCATCGTCTCGATCAATAAACAAAAGTTCAAGAGGTCCATTCTAGGTAAGATTAAAGAAGCATTTCTTGGACAAATTGGTGGTATTGGAACTATTTTGTTAGGCAAGATACCATTTAATCGAAGTACCACGACCTATCGGAGTATTCTCTAGGGTGGCACTTGGAAGAATTTCTTGGAATTACTAATCCTAATCAAAATTTTGGGGTCTTGGACGGCATGTCACCCAATGTATGTTCTTATTATTTTGGTGCAAGTTTGTCATGTTCATATAATGTCCATAGAGATGTCTGTAAGGAGCAAAAACCATATTGGAAATAAGATGACACCATATGTTCAATTTTACCTTCTAATGTGTTTCTACACTTAAAATTTGTAGTATTTAGAAGGACCTAATATAGTTGTCGACATCTGACAGGTTTATGGTAGATACTGCTTGGAAGTGTTTTCTGGCTTATGGATGATGGGGAATGAGTTAAAGATTGAACTAGAACTATGTACTTGACATATCAAAGCAGTGCTAAAGGTTCCTTTGCTTGCAATTTGAGAGGCTTAACTGAATATCTTCAAAAAGCTCAAGGACAGAGAAATTAGAAGCACCCTCAAGATAAATAGGAAAAGATGGATGACAAATTGTTATAAATTGCTCATTTATGGGCTGTTTTCAATTTTTTCTCTTTTTGATCATGTAATATGTTATGTGAGCGATTAGGTAGGTTTATTAGGCTTCAAGTAAGTCATGGTAAATGGTTGTGTTGGAACACGTAATTTAGTTAGCTTGTAATAGTAATTAGTTCTTTTGAAGCTATATCCATTTTGCACACATTCAACAAATCTTGCATTCACTTTGGAACTTCATATTCACCTGCAACAAGATAGCTTTGTATGTGGGACATAATACACAAGCAGCATGTGGCAATTTGAAAGGAATTGTGTTGCAAGTTGTGGAAGGATATTTTGAGAAGAAGTTTCTAATGCAAGTATGCTATATGGATTTAGAGGTTATGCACATTTTTCTCTTTTCATTTATAGAGACCAGGATGAACTATATAGGCTGTTTATTTTAATTTTTAATTTTTTACACAGAGGCAATAATATTTTATTGATGAGGAGGGTTGAAACAAACCAGGTTATGTTAATTTCTTAACAGTACATGGGAAGGTGTTTGGCCATTGTTTGTACTGATGTTGTACTGTATGTTAAACATTTTATCATTTTAATTTTCTTTATTTTGATACAAACGAGATTGGGATAGAGGAGTAGAACAATCGAACATGAAACTTCTAAGTATAAAAAAAATGATGAATTTTTTTTTTCCACTTGAGGTAAAAAATTCTATATAGTTTTAAGTTTGTATTGAATTATTAGCTGCATCCATAAATAATTGATAGAACTGTTCAGTATATTGAAGTTGCTATGCTTTTTATTTTTTATTTTTCTTTAATACAAAAAAGTGAGGGAAGTATGATTAGCTCCACCCATAAATAATTGATAGAACTGTTCAGTTTAAGGAAGTGATATTATTTTTCTTATTAATTGTATGGAAGTGTTTAACATAAATAAATAAATTGTATGCAATAATGCAAATGTTATAACTTAATAGCTTCAAAGAAGAAAAAAAGAAAAAAAATTGTATAAAAGTGGTTAACAACATTTATTCATGCATCTTAAATTATAAGGTCGATTCCCACTTCTCCTCACTTTGTATATAAATAAAAAATACTAACACAAGTCGGTAAACCTTGTCTTTCTCTTGGAATCTATATATATAAAGCAAAAAGCAGAGAATGGTGAAACATTCAAAATACCAGAAAATGCCCTTGGTTAATTTAAATATTAAAAATTGAAACTCTTAATTAAATGAGGATAATATGGTAAATTCATAATTAAAAAAATTAAAATTAAAAACAAAATCTGATAATAAATCCTACTTTTGCGGAAAGTAACTACCCATTTTTTATTTTCTTAATTCTAAAAACTAAAAAAAGAAAACCAATTGGCATATGCGTGAGCGTGTGGCAAGGGGCTAGTATACACATAAACATAAACCCAACAAGATAGAAACTTTCTTTTTGATGATATAAAAAGACAGAAACTTTAATAAATAAAAAAACCTACATAATTTCGGAGGAAAATATAAAGCCTCAAGATAAGAAGAAAATTAAATATAAAAAATATTTTCAGAAATTTCTCGAGTCAATCTAAATTTTTTAGATAAAAAGGCTTCCTAAAATAAATCCCAAAAAAGAAAAAAAAAGAAAAAAAAGGTCAGTTGAGTCTCTCATTCTCTCTCTCTCTCTCTCTTCACTTCCCCAAATATATATAGTTTTTTCTCTAAACCCTTGTACAATGTACTAGACCAAGTCCTCACTCCTTAACAACAGCTGATATATATCCAAGTGTTTCTATAAGATTAGGGTTTCTCTTTCCCTCCAACTCCCTCTCTCTCTCTCTGTATTTCTTTTTCTCTCTCTGGCGAGATCCGATAGTGTCAACTAATGCAATAGGTATACTTCTTCTTCTGGGTTAACCCTCTGTTTGGTTTCTGAGAAAAAAAAAAAATATATATATATATTTTTTTATATTCATGAACTGTTTCTTTTGACTGACTCACTATTTGCCTTGTTTATCTCGGGAACCAAACTGAGGAAGACCCTCCATTCGGTTGCGTGATTGAGGAAAAATATATATTAAATTTTGAATCTTTACGCATGAGTGTATGATATATTTGGTTTCTGTTTAATGAGAAAATCACATTGGCTGAGAGCCAAGTTGTTGTGTTAAGGGTCAGTTTGTCTGCTTTCGGGGTCCCAATTTTTGCTGAAAATTTAAGAGATTGAAAGTCTTAAGAATTTTCAGCTGAAAATATCATTTTTGAACAATAGGCTTCGATTCAGTTTACTTGTTGGCGATTGAGAATTCTGCTCTACCTGTTTTGTAGTAATTACTGATTATTATTTAGAAAAATGATAGAATATGACATTTTTTATTAATAAAGGCAATGTCTATCCGTCTATTGGGGTACTCTTGCAAGGTGCCATTAGCTTTAGTATACGCTGAGGTTTTAGAACTTCATGTACTGCGTGTAACAATTGTAGAGCTGTTAATTGCTCTTGAGGACCTACCTGTTTTGTCCGTAACTATTAACTGCTAACCACGAGGAAATTCGTTATGTCTGACGCTAAAAGACAATTGCTTGGATGTCACTTATGGTATTACGAGGAGTATGGAACTTTTACCCCATTGCATATGTGATTTTTCATGATAGAGACCAGTTATGTGGCGATGAAGAGTATATTGGGAAGAATATAGCTTGCAATTACAGGGAAATATTCATATCCATTAAACATATGGCAACGGATAGTTGTGTATTCATCATAGGCACATGTATATTTGATTCTGATTTACTGCTAAGTTGAATTAGGAAATTGATTATGGGCCTTGAGTATGACTAGTATATTATTTTCATATTGATTGGCCATTGATGTTTTCTTGGATTGCAATTTATAACTTTTTATGTCTGTCCCAAAGAGATATGAACTTTTGTTACCTAATATATAATCTCAACACTCCTTGTGGCGCTCAGTTGATATAGAATTGTATGAGGATGAGAAATTAATCAGGGAATCTATAATTTGCTAATATGGGTCCGTACTTCTTGTAGACGACAAAGTTTATGCTCATCATGGAAGCTAATAATTCTAATGTTTCGCGAGCTGAAGAACTTAAACTCCTTGCAAATGAAGCATATAAAGGTAATAATCTGTGCTTCTACAATTCGTTGTTACGTTTTCTTCTAATTTAGTTTGATATATCTTGCAATGAAGTGAACTATCCTTTTAATTCCTTGGATTTAAAAAAAAAAAGAATTTGTAGATCACAACTTAAATCATCAGAATTGGTTCCATACTGATGAGATTTACTTTTGGTGTTCCTAAATAGTAAATCTTAACAAGTGACAAACATTATACACTCTCACACAAGTAGACTGAATTGAATGAATTCTTGGGCAGCATATTATTTTATCTATTTATATCCTTGCGACAAGCAAGAATCCTTACCTAGAGATTAACTTTGAACACTGCTTTATTGGTTGTGAACTGTTGTGTCTTCAGTGATAATTTTTTTGGTCTGGGTATGATCAGTGTGCTCACTTTCACTATTTTTTCAGCTCATAAATTTGCTCAAGCTATTGATCTGTATACACAAGCGATTGAAGTAAACAGTCAGAATGCTGTGTATTGGGCCAATCGTTCAATTGCCCACCTTAAACTGGAGGAATATGGCAGTGCCATACAAGATGCTTCTAAGGCTATTGAAGTTGATCCTAAATACTCAAAGGCATGTTTTGTGCCCTAAATTTTGTGCATCTGAATATGTGTAATTATGTTCTGATAGTTTTCTATTGCTGCAGGGATATTACAGGCGAGGTGCAGCTTATCTTGCTATGGGGAAATTTAAAGAAGCACTAAAGGATTTTCAGCAGGTGCTTCGTGTAGAACTTTCTTTTCCTCAAAATTGTGAACAATATTTATTTAACTTTTCTAGTATTGCATAATACTGAAAGAAGTTGAAAGCTTTCTTTATTCCAACAACCCTTTTGACATCAGAACACATAAAATATCTGCTTGATATTGATGTACTGATGACACCAGAGGGTTTTAAACAATCTATTCATTATGTGAAAATGGCTCTCTGCCTAGTTGATTGTTTTGTACCATATCAAAATTATACATCTAATAGCATTATTGGTATACATGAGTTTAAGTATTCTAGAGGACTTGATTTTTGTTCATTTAATCACCATCAAGTTGCATTTTAAATGTCTGTCAGGATTTTAGTACACAATCTGTATCCTTATCCTTTGTGACTCACATATCTTATATACCCATTCACTGGAGCATAGCTAAAATAGATGGTTCGTGGAAACTGGAACAGGGTACATCACCTACCCTGACATGGAATGATAGGGGTAGAAAATCAAAATTCATAAACTCTTTAAGCAGAAGGTTGAATGTGATAAGACAAGCTTAGGTCAAGTGTTAAAAAAAAATCATAATCTACAAAAACTTTATATTTATAATTATCATTTTTTCTTTCTTATATCAAGAAACTAGAGATAAAATAGAAGGATACTTCAGGAAATGTGTTCTAAATTTTCTTTTGGTAACAATTGTCTTAGATGTGGCATTGCATAAATTGTTCTACTTTATGTAAAATAGGTCAAAAGAATCTCTCCAAATGATCCTGATGCTACCAAGAAATTGAAGGAATGTGAGAAAGCAGTGATGAAGCTTAAATTTGCAGAAGCAATTTCTGTACCAGAGTCTGAAAGGCGTCCTGTAGCTGATTCTATTAATTATCGTTCTATAGGTATTAGTGTTGTTGCTTTTCCACTTTATTCTGCTTATTGTATATGGGGTTTTATTTATTTATTTTTTATGTTGTTGGTATTTCCCTTTTCAAAATTTTCCAGATGTTCATCTTCCTCTTTTTTGTTATTGTTGAAAAATTTATTAGAGTTGCTTCTATATGCTTCTGAATCCTGATAAATGTTCATGGCATTGTATGAATCTTATTCATTGAAAATGTACACAAATGCATGCATACCGTGAAAGGAGTGAATGAGATAGCAGGAAGAATAGACTACTACAAATCTTTCTTTTAGGTTTGAAATTTTCTTAACTGCAAGTTTTGCTCTTCTCAACATTGGTGTCTTTTTTCTTGGAAATGTATGATGTCACTTGTTTCTTTCTTGATTCTGTTGTTATTTTACCTGATTCAGTTTTTTATTTCTTTATGAAGTTCCGATTTGTTACTGATCCCTCTTTGTATCAATTTTATTCCCTGAAGCCATTTTTTGTGTCCGAACTCCCAATGGATAACTAAGAATTTGAAATCATGAATCTTTTCCAACATTTGTAATTAATGAAATAACGGTTGCAGATTTATCGTATATTAATGCTGAATGAAGGATGTTTAGGCTTCTTATAGCAGCTGCAATAAGTAACATTGCTATGATAATTTTGAGTTTATTTCTAAGATTCGGTAGTGTTGGTTGCACTGGTAGTGCAAGCTATTTGGGTAGATATGGTAGCTGCAGCAGGGAGCATGTTGGCCATTCAAGGTGCCAAAAGAGTTAACATGTCAGTGGGGATGGAACTAATAGTGTTAGGCTAGTAATTTTGAATGGTGATTTTTTCAGTGCTATGGTTCAGAGGGTCCTTTATTACCTAGAAACTCCTTTGTGCGTGCGTGTGTGTGTGTGTGTGTGTGTGTGTATTTAACAGTATATCATTAGCACATTCTGGAATTCTTACTATTTATTTATGGTATGGGGCGCAATTTTTGTAAAGTCAATACAAGGTTTAAGCCTAAGTTCAAATACCTTGTTCCACCTTTGTTAAAGGGTACATTTAGTAGGAAACCTTTGGATGAAGAGTTTGAATTGGGTCTGAGTCTGATATGGGAGGATCCTCTGTGTGGTTTCTCTCCTGTCAGCATGGTTTATTTGGAACTCTGTAGTTCTCCCATTTGGATGGACTGTACACAAGGGTTATCCTGTTTTAGTTACGCATTAGGTCCATCTGTCTCTGTTGCCATCCAGGGTAGGACTATGTTTCTGGGCTCATTCAGGAATCAGTCCTTGAAACATGTCTTCCTCAGTGTAGTTAGTACCCACAAAAAGCTTGATCAGCATTAAGTAACTGATTGTTATTTTCTTTTCAAAATTCTTTTTAGTGTTAACTATTAGTGTCCATTAACAGTATTAATTAGAGTATTCTTATATATTCTATCATTATAGGAATGGGCCCCAGTACATCATCAGTGTCCGCCGAAGTTGCCGTAGCAGCACTGGCAATGACAGTTGGGGCAGCGATGGTTATGATGAGAACAGCAGTGACTGCAGTTATGGCCACAGTAGTGGTGGTGGTCATGGTGGCCCTGGGGGCATGTTGGTGGCGTGGCTTCCATGGTGGTGTCTATACCAAGAGTCGAGTACATGACCTAGGTTTGAGTTCACAATCCATGGATATTAGAGACCAGTCACAAGTCACTGTCGCAACTTCCAAGAGTTGGAGATTAGTTATTAAATAAAAAAGACTTGATAGTTGAAAAGTTGTGTTAGGTTCTAGGAGATGTATTACAAACTGATAGTTACATTCAATGCAAATGCATTCTTTACCCTACCATTAAGATGGCATCCTTTCTTGAGAATGGATTTTCAGTCGAGTACAGGATCTTAATGGAGTTGAAAAAGAGCTCGCCTGGGATATGTAAGATATTTACTCTAGCTGACCCAAGTGGGTTGTTTGGGCCTTCTATTTTCTTTTCTTTTTTCTAAGTTAAGGCTTTTAGAGTTAGAGTTGAGTTTTGTTGCGTGTTCTAAAATCTATGTTGCTTTGGATCTAAGGGTAGACACAGAAAATTGGAACAAAGACTGAGTTTGTAATACTGAGAAAATAATCATACTAGGAACATTAAAATATTCATTGTAATGAAATTAGAATGTCAGTATATTATAAAAATAAAGATAAAGTGAATCTGAATCGTCATGAGCTGGATATATCTTTCTTTCTGCTTGTGTGAATTTGCATTAAGTAGCTTTGTTATGTACTTGTGTGAATTGTTACATTCACATGTGTTGTAAAAGTTATTACCTATTAAAATGAAATGGAGTTGCTAATTTCTTTTGTTGATGATGAGACTTATGACAACATTTTGTTTGGCTCATGTTTTATTTTTTGAATTAAATTAAGAATACAATTATAAGAATAGATGGTTATGTTTGCTTCTTTTTGTACGGTTAAGAGATGTCAGAGAGAAATGAAAACAGGAAAATAGAAGCATTGAAGATAGGAAGTATTATAGTGACTTAATGTTGCAAAGCTAAAGTTAGTACTTAATGGAGTGGGAGGTATAATTTGTATATCCATGACTGATTGAGCATTCATCGTTTTGGAGATGATAGTGCATAACACTAGTGCCGTTAATTTATGTATGATATAAATTATTGATATAATAGGGTCCTATCTTCGTCTATATATGGTAAAGCTTATTTACTTGCTTTATCACCCAGGAGAGCTAATGAAAGTGATATCTGTTTGAATTCCAGATGTGGAGCCACAATATTCAGGTGCAAGGATAGAAGGAGATGTTGTTACTTTGGATTTTGTGAAGAAAATGATGGACGATTTCAAGCATCAGAAGAATTTACACCAACGGTATGTATGGGAATCACAATACTATGTCAGGGAACTAGTCAACAAATATTATTGGGCAGTCTTTTCACTTCACTTGGTATTGATATTGTAGATATGCCTTCCAAATTGTCTTACAAACGAAAGAAATGTTGCAAGCCCTGCCTTCTCTTGTCGATATAAACGTTCCTAAGGGCAATCATTTTACTGTTTGTGGTGATGTACATGGTCAGGTAATTACATTTCTTCCATATTCATAAGATGCTGGTTCAATTGCTTGATTTGACTTGGAACAACATACAACATTTCAAATCTGACAAGGTTGCATGTAAACATGAAGAAGGTTACTTGATAGACAATAAAGGCTATTGAATAATAGAATGTTTAATACTAGGTGAAACAACAATATCTCAGATTACTATTGTCTTGTATGGTTTTGCTGAAGTCAGCCTAGTTCTGAAAATCTATCATAGCTTTGAAATTCTTGTTTTGGTGGCTGTCTAAGTATAATGTTTCTATATGTGTTCTGGGCACTCTTTTATTTGTTTGTATGTAATGCCTGCAGTTCTATGATCTCCTAAATATTTTTGAGCTTAACGGGCTTCCTTCAGAGGAGAATCCATATCTATTCAATGGAGACTTTGTGGATAGGGGATCTTTTTCGTTGGAGGTGATCCTAACATTGTTTGCATTTAAGTGCATGTCTCCATCAGGTGAATCAACATGTTTTCTTGATTGGTTTGCAAATAATTTTGTTAATTTATTTAGAATTTTTTAGCCTTCCATATCTCATATGTTTAGTTAAGTTGAAGCAACGTCGCAATTACTATGTTGTGACTTAATTATTTCTGCCCCAATTAATTACTTTTCTAAGTTCACTCCAAAAAATTTATCTACATTGTTTTAGATTTATAGAACTACATTCAATTATGGCTCCGTTTGCCCTTCTTTCAATTCCAATTTAGTTTTAACACACATTTCTTTCACCCAGTTATATGATCATGTTTTAACTCTTTTCAATTAAAAGAATTCACGTTCTGACTTGATAACCTGTTTTATCGTTTTCAGCAATATATCTTGCAAGAGGAAATCACGAGAGCAAGAGCATGAATAGGATATATGGTTTTGAGGGCGAGGTCCAGTCCAAGTTAAGTGAAAAATTTGTGGAGCTGTTTGCTGAAGTGTTTTGTTGTTTACCGCTGGCTCATGTAATAAATGGGAAGGTTTTTGTAGTTCATGGGGGTCTTTTCAGTGTTGATGGGGTTAAACTCAGCGACATTAGAGCAATTAATCGGTTTTGTGAACCCCCTGAGGAAGGTAATTTATTACATTCCTCCCCTCTCCCTTGATTCTGCATTTGGATGACGTCTGTTATTGGCCTTTACCAGTTGAATTTAAAAATTGAAAATTTCATCACAAACCTTCTGTAAATTAATTTGTAGGCAGATTTTATATATTGTTTCTGGGTTTCTTCAGGGTTGATGTGTGAATTGCTGTGGAGTGATCCACAACCTACACCTGGAAGAGGCCCGAGCAAACGAGGTGTAGGCCTTTCTTTTGGCGGTGATGTGACAAAAAGATTTTTGCAGGAAAACAATTTGGGTATGTCTACTAGTTTTGGCAGGGTATAATTTTTTTTATATTTTTTCTGAAGTTACTACTGCTACTTATCAAAATGTATAATAGGTTTTACATTGCTTAAATCAATATACAGATTTAGTTGTGCGCTCTCATGAAGTAAAGGATGAGGGATATGAGATTGAGCATGATGGCAAACTCATCACTGTCTTTTCTGCTCCAAATTACTGTGATCAGGTAACTGCATGATGGCTACTTGGCTAGTCTTCTATCATTACTAAAGTCATCTTCTAAAACTTCTTTTGTGTGAACCTTACCTTACCAGTAGCATTTAGATTTTATTGAGGGTTATTTTTCTGCACATCAAAGGTGTGGCATGAATAGTAAAACTATCTTACGACTGTACATTTGGAAGTCCTCTGAGATTCCAACAACAATGATGTTGCTGCTGTTTTTTGTTCTTTGCTTTTCCGGAAAGTGGAGTGATTTATGATCTTCCAGTATTTATTGAGCACATTCCAAAATTTGTTAATATCCATGTGTAATAACCTTTGTTTATGTTTTGGATGTTGCAGATGGGTAACAAAGGCGCCTTTATCCGTTTCGAAGCACCAGATTTGAAGCCCAACATTGTTACTTTTTCAGCAGTGGTCAGTGGCTCCTGTCAATTTAGCTGCTCCAAATTTTCAAAAAGTCTCTACTATTTCTCCTTTAGTGATGATTTGTCTGGTTGCGCTCAAAAGTTTCCTTGTTTATAGGTGTAATATATAGTGATTGTTGGTTTTACACCTATTTATTTTTCTCCGTATATAATATTGCAGGACCATCCTGATGTCAAGCCGATGGCATACGCGAATAACTTCCTCCGACTCTTTCAGTAATTTATGTGGCTGAGCAGAAGGGCCAACGCAGTGTCTATTTTTCGCTATCTGACAACTTTCCCGCTGAATACAAATTCGTTTCCGAAGGCTACTGGAGAAGGGTTGGTGCATGTTGACATGCACTATCTAGCTGTGATTATTTCCGTCTTTTGATTTACCTGTCGTTCTTGTACTTCTCACCAGTGGGAAGAATATTTCAGGCATTTTCTTTGATACCGTTTGTTTGATCTTGTGCTTGCCCGGAAGCGAGGCTTAGATGAAACTCATAAGCACATGAAGAATGACTGCCAGCTAAAAGTTCATGGCGTTTTCTCTGTGTTTATTTTATTTATATGATTTTTTCCCCTCGGGTTGTTGGAGATTCAAGTACTGGCGTAAATATGTCATCAGATGTGTTTTTCTTTTTAATTTATATAATCTTTTTTTATTTTCAATGATTATTGACTTGTAAATATCTGAATCATACTTTATTTTGACATGTAAATAATGTAATGTAAAATTCAAAATATAAGTCATCTGACTCTATATTTTGTTTTAGAAAATTCATTTGTGCAGGATCGCTTCTACGAGTGCATTTCAAGACAACTCGTAAATTGTCACCAAAGAAGAAAAAAAACTCCTGATTCTGTACCAATTGCAACTAAAATGTAAAACAAAGATTGCGTACCAATTCGAAATCGGCTATACAGCAATGTAGTTCCTGGAGTGAAAAATAACGATAGAGAGATATTGCTGATGTGACGATTTCTTATTTGTTGTGAATAATGAAGGTCCAAAACCTAAATGCAACACTGCTACATTAGTTGGTGTAATAAGTTGGTGTCTACTATTGCTCCCAAGTGAGTCATCAACATGATTGTGAGTCATTGACATATCATGTCGATGACGGCTCCCAAGTGAGTCATCGACATGATCGTGAGTCATTGACATAGCATGTCGATGACGGCGTGGTATAAATATTTTTTTTTTCTCTTTTTATTTTATTTTATATAAAATTCAGGGTTTTAGAGAATCAGGAGCTTCAAAATTCGGACTCAATTGTAGGCCCAGCTGAACTCATTTTTTTAACTTGCCCAATTTGAAGATTGGGCTCGGGTTAGGGCAAGCCAAACCCGCCCAAAATCGAGCCCTAGTAAGAAAAGAATTAGAAATCACGAGTTGTGTTTTGCTTTAGCTTCCATCGTCGTTTCGAGGCTCCAATTGCTTGCGTTCGTCGACGCAGCTCTCCGGCGTCGTTTTGCTTGATTTGCATTTCAGGTTTGTTTATTCGCCATCCCTTCTGTACCTCTTAGTCCCTCTCATAAAATTCTCTTCCTTTTTTCTCTTCAAAATCTGTCTCACTCACCTTTCTCTTCTTAGCATCTCTGTTTGGTTGCCGAGAAAATTAACCAGCTTCTTTTAAAATTAATTTCTCAAACCTGGAGTTGTACCACCACTGTTTTCGGCTCACTTATATTTCTGAGAACAAAATTAAAAACTAATGATAACATAACTAACCCGTAATCTCGTTTTCCTTCTCTTTTTCCTCTGTTTTCTCGGGAACCAAACTAGGGTTTTCATTTTGGTGCTGATTATGATGAAGGATTAGTTCTGTGTTCGGATACAATAAACTATTGTTTGCAGATTACAGGGTTATGAATTTAGCTTTTGAACGTAAAACGAATTTATGTGGCACTTCAGCCCTGAATTGGTTTAATTATTTAATTTGATTTAGGGTTTTGGGGGCTGTGTCTTAGTTGGTAGCAAAAGTTCCTTTCAGATAGTGATTTTGGTGTGAAGGTAAATGAAGATGATTAGTGTAACTTCAAGTCTTAGTGTATCATCTGAGCTGAGACAAATGGATCTTGCACCTTTGTTTCGTTCCTCGAAAATTACCAGAGGAATTGAAACACTTGATGATGGATAATGATGTTCCAAATGAGGGGATGCTTGTTGATAAAAGTTGTTCTTTTTTCATCACTTAAAAATGAAGTCCATGGGAAAAAAAATTATAAATTAGAGGTTCTAGAGTTCCTGTAGTGAAAACTAACTGCAGTGTGAGACTTTCCTTCTGTAATGATCTCTAAATTCTAGTATTGGACATATTGGAAAGTTCAGAGATTAAGACCTTCATTCAAGGCCCTTAATTTGATCCGGGTGGGTTTAGAATCTGTAAAAGAAGTTTAAATTCTAATGTAACTAAAGTTTTTATTCTTGGTTCTTTCTAACTGCAACATTTGTGTATTTATCCCAACTTATGCTCGAATTTACGTCATTCCCATGTGTAAACCAAGCTGCCTGGAGCTTAAACTCATCATATAGTGTAAACTCGATAGAAGTTAGAGCCAAATATAGAGTATAATTAATTCCTTTCGTAATTTCCTCATTACTTGCATTTGACAGATGTACCAAATATGATTATGAACTTAAGATGTTGCTCTCTAGTTATTTTGTGAAGCTAATATTCCCTCTACACTGTGGATAGTTTCTGTCATTGGCACTAATGGACCTAGCACTAATGGACCCTTATGGGACAAATCCTGGACCAATTGATGGTTCAGTGCTTTATGATCAGGAGAAGCATGTGTCTTCAGCAGTTTGGGATGGACAGGTGCAGTGTACCCTCAAATAAGGATGCTTATTATTAATATTATGGTATCATTCAGTTTTATGTAACAAACTTTTTGCACTAATATGGATGGTAATATATACTTTAACTAACACTTACAGGAGCGTGGTGCACTTAGATGTCATGAACACACTTCGAAGCTTGATCAATGGACACTCACGGAAAAGCAGATTGAGTTCGTAGATCAGGCTGGATTTGGTTATTTAAGATTGATTCCTGCAATTAGTCTAGATAACCCACTCATTTCTGCCCTAGTCGAAAGGTGGAGGAGAGAAACAAACACTTTTCACTTGAATGTTGGAGAAATGACAGTAACTCTTAAAGATGTTGCGCTATTGCTTGGACTAGCTATTGATGGAGAACCTGTTATTGGAATAACGCATACCACCTGCAACTCCGTTTGTGAGAGGTATCTTGGAAGAGCACCAGAGTCTAGTTATACTAGTGGTGGAATGGTGAAGCTAAGCTGGTTGAAAGAGTTCTTTTCCTATTGTCCTGAAGATGCACCACTTGAAGTGATTGAGTGCCATACACGTGCTTACCTCTTATACCTTGTTGGAAGTACAATATTTTCCACTACCACTGGGAATAAAGTCCCTGTCATGTACCTTCCATTGTTTGAGAATTTTGACCTATGTGGGAAATATGCCTGGGGGTCAGCAGCTTTGGCATTCTTGTACAGGGCACTTGGCAATGCCTCACTGAGATCTCAAAGTACAATTAGTGGCTGTTTAACACTACTACAGGTTATTTTCATGCCTTTACTCTTTAATTTTTTTTTCTTCTTATTTTACTCTTTTTTCAGCAGTTCCTTTGATTGCATATCTTTTTTTTTTTTTTTTTTGCAGTGCTGGAGTTACTTTCACCTGAATATTGGACGACCAAAGCTCAACACTGATTCAATGCATGATCGTTTCCCTTTGGTGCTTAGCTGGAAGGGAAAACAAAGTGGGCCAACAACAAACCGTGATGTAGTGTTTTACCGTAAAGCTCTGGATTCGCTGAAATCATGCGACGTAAGTTTTTCCTTGTTCTTTTCTAATATTTATTGATTTAATTTTATATTCTAATATTTAGTGTAGAAGCATAATACATTTGGTATGGTGCTGACTTACAGGTGGAGTGGCTTCCTTATAGAAATATGGACAGTACAGTGATTCCAGAAGATATCAAGAGCAATCTAATTTTAGGGAGGTCAAAAACAATGCTAATATGCTTTGACAAGGCAGAAAGGCATCTCCCAAATCGTTGCCTAAGGCAATATGGCATGTTTCAGTCAATCCCAGAGGATGTACAGCGATGGGAGAGAAAGAGTCGTGGAGTTGATGGCGGGGTTGACTTGTCGGGTAAAATGGAGTCAGAGATTAATGAATGGTTGGAACGTCGATTTCATATTGTGGAAGGTGATGATGGTGCAGATGAAAGTGATTATATGCAGTGGTACCTGAGAATTACGCGTAAGTTTGTAGGGAGGCCTATATCTCTCTCGTCTGAGTTTCAAAGAACGGTAAGGCTGTATTTAATTATGAACTTATTGGTTATTGTCAAGTATGAGGAATTATGTATTATTTTTAAAAGATAACATTATTAACTTTTGCAGAATGCCGGTTTGAGGGAGATCGCACGCATGGCAGATACATTCTCAACAAATGGGTTGGACGAGGAACAAGTTGACTTAATTAGTAGTATCAGGACTATTGCGCATGAATGTTTGAGGGACCAGGTTGGCGGTCCGTACATAGTGTCAGCCACCCCACAAATCGAAGTTGGGAAAAGGATAAGAGGGAAGGAGAGGGTGAGAAGGAAAGGTACGGGAAAACGTTTGCGGAAGGATGATCCAGCACAATATATTGCTGCTAGTGAGGATGATCAGTCTCAGTATTGTGGTGCCACTGTCAGGGTTGAGCAGTTACCATTACATCAACTACATAGAGAGGAAGATCATTCACAGCTGTGTCCTGTTGATAACGAGGTGACTGGTTTGGATATGATCAATGGAGATGGTGAGGGTGAGAATATGCAGCTATGCAATGCTGACATTGGGTTTGATCATTCAGAGCTAAGCCATGAGGCTGGTGGGGAAGGTAATGCTGAGCTAATCCATGCTGTTGTCAAGGTTGATGACACACAGCTCTTTGAAGCAACCGGAAAGATCAACGACTCACAACTTTGTGATGTCATGAACGAAGTCAAGGACTCACAGTTTTCTGATTCAGCTAAGGTGGTTGATTCACAGATTTGTGATGCAACTAACGAGGTCGGTGACTCAGCGCTTCCTCATGTTACCAGTGAGAGTGATCGACAAACATCTAAAGTGGAAGCAGAGGTTGTTCCAGAGTCTTCTCTTGAAACTCCTCAGGATATTGCACAACAGAGTAAATGTAGTGTTGTAGTATAAAGTAAAGGTGCTGTCATGCAATTTTTCTGAGGTAATCCTTTAACATGATTAAAGACCATTACTCGGATTTCTACTGTTTTCCCCGTGCATTTCCTTCTATATATCAGATGAATCCATAATTCCTCATTATTTTCTGATAGGCATTGCGAGGCTAACGATACGAAGATGCAGCTAGATTAGTAGTAAAGTAAAAGCTCTTAACATGTATAAAGGCTGTGGATTTTTGGCTAGACAATAAGATACTTGTGATCATGTTGATTAGTGTACTGTTTTCTGCTGTAACATTTCACGTTTTATTGCATCTGATCTATTTTGGTAACGTCTTCTTTAGTTTTTAGATTATTCATTTTCTTCTCCAAATGTAAAGATAACTGGAAGTTATGTATATTTTTATCCCTTTGAAATTTTGAATTTTCTGCTATTGGGTGTTTATGTTTTTTTTATTTGTTTCTTGTTCTGTGTATATTTACATAGATTGCATTCATATTTTCAGTGACGTCTATACAATTTATGCCCAAATGCAATATAAGTACACTATTGAACCATTGAACCATATGTGGGGTGTGTAAAGGGACAATGGGCCCATAAATCTGAATCCAACAGGACCACTAGAGGCTACGGCATTATTTGCAGATAAAAAAATAACCTTCTGCACTTTGTCTCGGGTAATTCATGTTTTGACTTAGGGTAAATCATATTTTGACTTGGGGTAAATCAGGTTTTCTTGTTTTTTGTTTTGGATACAAGCGATATTGGGAGAGGGGAGTTTTCTCTCACACACACTACTAATGTGTCATGAGAGTTCGAACCTGTAATCACTTATTTGTAAGTTAAGGCTAGACCCCTTGACGGGGTTAATAATGTTTTAATTTAGGGTAAATCATGCTTCTTCTTTTTTTAACGAAGGGTAAATCATGTTTTGACACAACTATTCCCTTCACCATGCTTAAGATGAGGACAATTCGAGCTTGTAATGATTACTTAGGAATTCAGAACACACAGTAATTGGGTAGTTGGATTAACCCCTCTGTATTTTGTAGTCGGTGTTCAGCAGTGTCAGAAAACTAGCAAAACCCTAAACACTCCAACTGGCCAAACCCAAGACACTCCATCCTTCTAAAGTCCGTAAGTAAAATCTTACTTAACCATAAAGAAATCAGAACATGTCTTCAAGTTTTAGTTTTTTAGTTTTCAGCAATTGTCTATTACAAGTTTAATGTTTTGTGCTACTATGCGACACTGCCTGGTTTTTACTTTCATGTCATGATTTTCTGTGAACCCCATTGTTTAAGTTTAAGGCTTTTGTTTATTAAACCCAACAATTTACACCAGAATTTGAGGTTGAGAGAAGACAAGAGCAGCATTTCCTTTTGGGCAAGTGGAGATACATTTCCAATGTAACTATTCTGATTGACATAAGTTCCCATGGTTTGTAGCCACCCCAATGCTTTGTGGCCCAAAATTGCAAAAAGAGAAAAGAAAAGAAAAAACTTAAAAACAATGCCAATGTTATGTAAAAGTATGGATTGGCTGCAGAGTTATGATGGATTTTTAAGTTCATATCTAGATGAGCAAAAACTACATAGGATGAGCATGAGCATTAGCTATCTAGACTCCAAACTAAATACTTCAGAGTTTTTTCTCTGCACTCATGAAAAGACAACAAACAATTAAAAAAAATCACTAGCCAAGATTATTGTGAACCATAAGAAAACAGAAGAAAATAAAAATAAAAATAATTCCAATGCTTGGAAAAGTGAAACATGCCCCTTATTTTCCACAACACTCAACTTTCTGCCTAATAAGTTCTCTCAGTCTCTTGACCCTACCTTGGCTTTCATATAATCAAAATCTCACTCAAATGTCATGAGCACTGCACCTATCACTTCAGTCACTTCTTTTACAACTCTCTCTCTCTCTCTCTCTCTCTCTCTCTCTCTCTCACTCTCATATGAAGTGAATACTTGAAAACTTGAAAGCCACATCTAAAAAACCAGACAACAAAGTGCTGCAACTAAGCAGGCCTCCTCAATACCTGGACACAATGTACTGTTCCTTCTCACTCTCTCTCCCTCTAGTTCTACTTCTCCTCTCACTCCCTTCTTCTATTCCTTCTGTCTCCACCACCAATCCCCACCATGCAAATAAACAACCACCCATCAACGCCCCCAAGCCCGTCAACACCATGGCTCCATCTGAAGCAGAAGCTCTGTTCAAGATCATGGACTCCATGTCCTCTGATCAAAACTGGAGAATTTCCCATCCTAACCCTTGTCAGCCAGGCTCATCCTGGCCTGGAATTGAGTGCAAAGTAGGAAAAGACAACTACCTACATGTCTCCAGGCTTGACTTTGGCACCCCACCAAATCCAACTTGCAAAAAAACAGCTACATTTCCTTCAAAAATCTTTGCTCTCCCATATCTTCAATCTGTGTTCTTCTTCAATTGTTTCACTCACACCAAAACCACTCTCTCTGTTCCACAAAACAGAGCCTCCCCTGCTTCACTTCAACAGCTCAGTCTCCGATCTAACCCGGCACTCGTTGGCCCAATCCCACCTCAAATTTCAACAGTCAAGTCCCTTGAAATCCTCACATTGTCACAAAACCGCCTCACTGGCCCAATTCCAGTGGAGATTTTCAGCCTGGGCAGTTTGGTGCACCTTGATTTGAGCTACAATATGCTCACAGGCACTATCCCATACCAGCTGGGCAGTCTCAGAAACCTTCAAGGCCTTGATTTGAGCTACAATATGCTTACAGGGGCCATCCCAAACACAATTGGCCAACTGAGTTTTCTTCAAAAATTTGACTTCAGCTCAAATTCACTTACTGGGGGCATTCCTGATGGCATTGAGAAGCTCAGTTTATTGGTTTTCATGGCTCTGAGCAACAACAAATTGGGTGGGCAATTTCCAAAAGGTCTGGAAAAATTGCAAAGTTTGCAGTATTTCATTTTGGATGGCAACCCAATTCATACACCTCTGCCACTAGAGTTTGGTAAGTTGGTGAAACTTCAAGAACTCAGGCTTGCTGATTCTGGGTACTCTGGCACTATACCAGAAAGCTTTTCACAGCTTAAGAATTTAAGCACTTTGTCGTTGCAGAACAACCGTTTAACGGGTGAAATTCCCGTTGGTTTTGGCAGTCTCTCACATATATACCACATGAATCTGAGCAAAAATATGTTGGGGGGTGTTGTGCCTTTCAACTCAAGTTTCTTGAAGAGGTTGGGAAGAAATTTGGATCTTAGTGGAAACCCAGGTCTTTGTTTGAGTCCCTCTGAGGCACACAGTTTGAAGATTGGAGTTAATGTTTGTGGAAAGAATAACAATGCATCTTCTATCCAGCCCTGGAAGAAATCTCAAGCTCCATCTGGGCTCTCCAAGCCATTGTTCCTATTTACTGCTTTATGGGTTTGGGGATTGCCTCAAATGTTGTTACTGGTATGACAAAGTATGTTTGTGCTTTAGTCCAAATTATTACTGGTTATTATGGTGCTAGGTCTCTGTAGAAAAATATATATAGATTGTTTAATAAATATAAGGATTTTCTGGGACTTTGCAGGATTTGATGTGCATTTGGGTTCTTTTAGTTTAGAAGCATTAGGAACTGCCAAGTTTAGAAGAAATGTAAGGTTTGCTTCTGCTATACAAGTTTCTATTTTTAGCAGACCCCCTGGTTCCTGTATAACATGTGTCTAGTGTACTGTGAATTACTGGCTTTTTGTTTCAATTATTTGCATCAAATGTTCAAGAAAAATACAAATAGAGTTCAGGAGGTAAATTTGAAACCATACATTTTTACCCTTTCTTTTTTCCTTTTGGGGGAGAGATTTTCCATTGGCATTGGATACTGGTTGCCTCCTTCCCTGTAAGGAGATACTCCTCTTTCTTGCGAATTACAATTTGATATATATGCATAAAATAATTCATCAAAAACACAAAAATAAAAACTTCTGCACACATGTGACGCTCCTATTGTTAGCAATGTAGAAACACCTACTTTTATAGCAAGGAGGGAAGTATTTTCCGCAAAAGAAAGCATCATCTGACACTATTTTGGGGAACATGTGGTTTGCTGTCTCGAAATTTATCTTGCATTGCATGTCACACGGCTCATGTTGGTTCGATAAAAAGGCTTAACTTAAGCACAAACAGATATAAATAGAAAGCCATAATTAGTTTGCTGGGACCAGATAGGTTTCTCTTTGGAAACTAGACATCAATTTACAACAATAATATTTCTACCACCCAAATCAAATGTACAATTCAATAATGTTTGCTCCAGCACATGTGTAAGAAGAGAACGACTGGTTTTAACTTTGTAAAACTTTATCAAATAATGAGAGTGTAAAAGAAGCTACAGACGACAATGCCCCCTCAGAGGAGGTTGACGAAACAAAGACCACCACCTGCAGAGAGGACTGAATAATGGCCAATATAAGAGCTGGATCCCACTCTCCCTTTTAGACTATTTGCACACAGTGTTTTGGTACATTTACTGCTTGCCCTATTGTTGTCTCATAAAAGTGACCTATATTTACCCCCACCACCCCCAATCAATTTTTGAATCTGCACGTTAGGTAACCCTAGCTGTATCATCTTGCTAGCTCTCCATGTTATTTCAACTCAGAACTTTGAATTGGTATGCATAGCTCCTCACATTGATCTTTTTCTGTATTTATCCGAAGTCCGGCTTCATAACGGGAAGTGTTGTGCATAATATACTTTAAGCTCGAACTGTACATGCAGTCATAATTTCATAATTTGATAACATAACATGTATGCCTTAATGACATAGCGGATTATATTGAATCAAGTATGCATGCCTTAATGACATAGCGGATTATATTGAATCAAGTATGCATACATGATGAATTTATGGGCCCTCATTTATAAGGTGGGCAACCATTGTCAAGTAGAATGTGTGCAGTCACAATTTCATAATTTGATAACATAATATGTATGCCTTAATGACATAGCGGATTATATTAAATCAAGTATGCATACATGATGAATTTATGGGCCCTCATTTATAAGGTGGGCAACCATTGTCAAGTAGAATCAAATGCAGTTTCCCGTTTGAGGAAACAGTTCAAACAAGTATACTCCAAAATCTCACACACGCCCATCCACGTCCCCAATGCAATAAAGGAGATAAATAAATAAATGGTTTTATTGCACAGTCACTTGTCACCCACTCAACATTTTTCATGCTTGCATCTCTGAATATACATTCAAAGGCTCATCACTGTGCCCACCACATTTTGTCACCAAACAAATTTTTGGCAAAATATGAAGATGAAACATGAAATTCCCCAGAGAGAGAGAG